AAAAAAAAAAAAAAAAGAGTATCTGGCAGAGCCAGACGGATGGTGGGTGCTCCTGAAATCCCAGTTCTCCCACTTCCAGGAACTTATAATCTACTGAGGGACAAAAAGTTAAATATCAGGAGAAGAGTTCAAGACAGCCCACGAGTGATGTCACCGAGTAGTATGTGGATATGGGTCAAAGTGAACAAATCATAGGTGGCCTGGATTCCTGAGGAACGGGACGGGACTATGGCAAGTTGCCAATGGGCTGGGGATGATGCTCTCGACAGAGAAGGCGGGCACAGAGCTAAGCCTAGAAGGACCCACGGGGTTTGGACAGGTAGAATGCAAGACAGCAGGCACATCCAGTCAGGTGAGAGGCTCAAACAGAAGCAGGAGAACCAAAAAGGAGGTCAAATTAAGACACCAAAGAGATCGGTTTGGTTGGAATAAGGATGTGAGAAACGAGGGTAAGACTAGGAAGGTAAGCTCAGGGCTCACTTGGGAGGACGCTGCATGTCCACGAAGGGGACGCTGGAAACAGAAACAGACCTGCATTTAAATCCTTGTTTTACTCGCTGTGCATCTTGGGAAGATGTCCAGCTTTAGTATTTTCATCTGTAAAATGGCTACAGGGACAATACCCACACACAGGGTTGTAGTGAGGACTAAAGAGATGTACATATAAAGGCTTAACCCAGTGCACGGCACCTGGCAAGTGCTCAATAAATGACAGCTGTTACTATCGAGTTTAGGCTATCTTGTAGCAGTGTTAACCTCTTATGTCCCATAGACCTTGGAAAATCTGTTAAAAGCTATGGATATCCTTGCCAGAAAAGACACACAATCTGGCCGGTGGTTTCAGGTAATTTATAAACCTTCTCACATCCGTTGCAGACTTATCCTGGGGGTTCAGGGCCTCCACATTAGGAACCCCCTTCTAGAATCAGAGCAGGACCTCGCTAATTGAGTGTGGCTCCAAGGAATGGTGAGGACACGAAAGAGTACTTGAGGAGGACGGTGGCGGGTGGGGTGGGGCAAGCCGGGGGCAGGCTAAGTGTCCTGCAACAGGTCCGTTGGGGTGGGGGCAGAGGCAGGTCCACACAGAACTCCTCTGAGGTGCTATTGTAAAGCATGGCTTCTCCTGAGAGTGCACTCAGTGCTTTCCTTCCAGACAAGGACAATGACATCAAACCATGCCCTTCCTCTCTTTTTCTTGGCTTCCCCGAAGCAACAAAGCAAGGCATCCAGGCCTGCACGTGCCTCGGTCTTAACATTAAACTCTATTTCCTCGATTGTTTTACTAGTAGGTCTACTTTTCAATCTACGAATTTGTTGTGGAAAGAGCCAGGGAACACATAAAAAAGAATGAGGAAGACAAAAATGGATGCTGATAATAAAAACATGACAACAGCAGCAGCTAATATGTATTATGTTCGAAGTGCTTCGTAAGTTATGAATTCATTTAATCTCCCACGTGGTAGACACTGCTATTGTTCCCATTTGATAGGTGAGGAAAAGCGAGGGACTGAGATGCTCAGTAAACCGTTCAAGGTCTCAAAGCTCCCAGGTAGCAGAGCTGGGATTGGAATGCAGGCAGTCAGGCTCATAGGCCTATGCTCTGATGAACCACGGTCTTGACAGGACTTTGGGGCTACTAGAGGAGAGAGATGTGAACATCTCACCAGAGGCCCCCCTCTGTGTGTCTGACACGCTGATGTCCCACCAGTAACCTGGGGGGCCTGTAAAAGACTCATACCCAGGAAATCAGCCATCTTCCTAACAACCACGTTCCAGGCAGTAACGTCCAGCTAGTCATCACCCACACCTTACAGGTCAGCCCCTGTGAATAATTAAAAGATCAATTGCCTACTACTACCTCTTTTCTCTGGACGTGGGAGAGAGGGAAACGAGTTAAGGAAGCAACAAAATCTGGTCTGGGATTAGAGTTCCTTCTTCAGAGGGAAGAAATGTAGTTTAAAGCTTGGATGCCTTCAGAGAGAAACAAAATTTACCATTTCACTGTCAAAGAAACACTCCATCTGTATTCTGGGGCTGATTTAAAAAAAAAACCACACAAATTTTCCTGGTGAAAACGTATACCAGAGAGTGGAGACAAATCAGGCTGGAGCAGAGAGGGGAGCTGTGGTTCAGACACCTTTGTAGTAAGAGGCCCTGCCTGTCTCCTGGAGGATCAGCACTGTCTTACTCTGCAGATCATAGCAGTGGTCCGCCATGGGAACCCTGCAGCCAGGTGTCTGGGATAGGGGATGCAAACGGGATCATGAAGGTCAACTCTGGTTCACCGAATAAGGTCTCCCTCATCAATCTGGGGAAGAGTGGGCAACACAGGTATATTTTCTCAAAGACTTCTTAATAGGGTAATGAAAATTACCTACCAAAAATATCAAAAGAGCCCTTCTAAAGTTATCTAATCTTTTCCATCTACAGCACCCCAGAGAGGAAGTCCTTTGCTTTCTACTTAAAAACTTCCAGAGGGGGTGTCTGGGTGGCTCAGTCGGTTAAGTGTCTGACTTCGGCTCAGGTCACGATCTCACCACTCATGGGTTCGAGCCTCATGTTGGGCTCTGTGCTGACAGCTCAGGCAGCCTGCCTTAGATTGTGTGTCTCCCTCTCTTTGTCCCCTCCCCCACTCACTCTCCCTCGCTCTCTCAAAAAGAAATAAGCATTTAAAAAAACTTCCAGAGATGGAGAGTCACTCCTCACATTGATAAATACAAGACTCTCAAACATCTTCAGAGTAGGTTCCATGGATTCCCCCAGGCCTGGACCATAAACCACACTCCACCTGAGTGTGTCGTCCACCTCTCTACAGGAAAGGAGCAAATCTTATGAGGTACTAATTCCCACCAGTTAGTCTAACTTTCTCACTGCAATCTATTGGCTCATATCTCCAGGCCTGAACCCTCCATCAAGTCAGGAAATTGCACCTCACTGTTGGAAGCACACCCGTGTAGCAGTAATTGAAGTTGGCCCTTACCTGGGGGCTGTGCCTCTGGACACTGAACTGGGGGTTGCCTGCGAAATGGTCACAATGTCTTCGTCCCCTCCATCCTCATAAAAGCTTGCTAGGGCGATCTGAAACAGAGAGGTAGTAACCTGGGTTCTTAAACAGGCCTTCGTCTGACATATTTCCTTTGAATGCAAAAAAGCAAAGTCACGAAGGTATGGCCCACACTTACAAGATGGTCTGTATCTGGGGACCATGGAAAATGAGATCAAAAGGTAGCAGCCCGGGGCACCTGGGCAGCTCACTTCAGCTCAGGTCGTGATCTCGCTGTCGTGAATTCAAACTCCACATAGGGCTCACTGCTGTCAGTGCAGAGCCAGCTTCAGATCCTCTCTCCCCTCTCCCTCTCTGCCCCTCCCCAGCTTGTGCCCTCTCAAAAATAAATGAACATTAAAAAAAAAAAAAGTAGCCCAACTATTTCTCCTCATATCACCTGAAACGAATTCCATATCCTAAGGGGAATAGAAGGCAAGAAGGAAGGCCGGGATGGAGACACTCCTCATTCTCACATTACCAGGAAAGGTGGTCCAGTGAAAGCAGCGTACATTTATTGAGCATTTATTTATGTGCCACAACGTTCTGAGCATTAACTCTACATGTGTTAACTTATTTAATTCTCAAAGAACTCTATATAATTATTATCATTGTCTCATTTTATAGTGGATACGGAGACACTGAGAAAAACATTGCCCAAAGTTAAACAGTGCGTAAGGAGTGGAGCCAGGTTCCAAGCCAGGCAGTCTGCTCAGGCCCCTACTCTCAGCTTTTACGGGACGACCAGGAGTCAGGAACGGTGAGGTCAGTCCAGATGGCTACTGTTGCCTTCCCACTGAGGCCCAGTTTCCTCATCTATCCACAGGGACACCTGGCCCACCAACCCTGCACGATGAATGAGAGGACCCATTAGCATTTATGCACAGGCACGTCTTAGCTCTATACATACAGAAGGTCTACGGGAGTCTTTTGGCCATTTGCGAGTGTTTCTCTCGCTGACTCAATGGTGAAGTATTTAATCACTCTGTATAAAGATACGAGCACCTAGGTCTATGCAGATGAAAGAGGCGTAGTTCCTGTCCTCAAGATCACCAGCGTTATAGGAGGCAGTATGCTGTCATAGGACACGCACTGAACTGGTATGGGGGTGGGGGAAGGGGGGCCTACATTCAAGTCCTGGCCCTGCCAGGCAAGTCATGTCGCATGTGGGAGCCTCATATTCCCTACCTGTAGTGTGAGGAGACGGCACTGAATGACCCGACAAGTGTGTGACATTAGTCTAGGCTTTCCGGGCTGCCTTGCACAGGAACTTCACACTCTGTGTGTGTGTGTGCGTCCACATGCACGCATACAGGCGCGATGCTGTACCTAACTCTTCTACTTTGGGGAAGCAATTTAAATGGGTGAAGTCAGACCCAATTCAGATCCCAACCTCACTACTTACTGGCTGTGGACCTCGGGCATGTCACTTGCCCTCTGAGCCTCCCATTCCTCATCTATACAACGGAGCTGGTTAGTCTTCTTTACCTCAATGTTGTAGGATTAAACACATCATCACATGTAAAGTGCCTGGCCCTTGGTGGTTCAGAGCTTGAGCTCTGGAATCGGACTGAACTGAGTTCTAATGCTATTGTTCCCACTTGGTAACCAGTGAGGCCTCACGCAAGTCACTTAACCTCCCTAATCCTCAGCTGCAAAATGCAAAGATTAAATAACTTCCGGCACGGAAAGCAATTAGAAGAGCACCTGGCTCCACCGTAAGGATTCAAGAAATCACTAATCATCATCACCTACCTAAGACGCAGGCTGGCCAATGCCATTTACGCCATTCTTTCTATAATTAATTGCCGAGCGTCTACGAAGAGCCAGGACCTGTGCTCGGCACTGGGGATTCAACAGTTTACAAAAAACCCTCCCTCGTGTAGCTCATCTTCATGACTTAGCTAACAAACATTTAATGAATACTT